CCATGGTGGAAGAAACTGAAGTGAACAGGGCTCTGGCACCGCAAGTTGAAGGAAGGATATTCATTGTTGATGATGCAGTTAGTGCTACCGGATGGATGTGGATGTCTAATAAACATTCTGCTGCTTTGGTTGACTGTCTTCATAGACGTTACCTTCGTCACTTTTGTCTGATGCTCTATAATTTGCATTCAATTTTCGTAAATAACATTTTCAATTCCAACTTTTTGAAAAAATGTTTTTCATGATTCGATTGAGTTTTTGAGAATTCTTCAGCATTCAGTTCGATCTTGTTTTTTTTTCAGAATCGCGAGAAGTTGAACGATCTTTATCTTGCCTCTAAACATCACCTCCATGACTCGGCAATCATTGAAGAAGAACAATAAGAAATTAAAGAGATTAATTAGTTAATTAACTAATTAGGTATCAATTAATTAATTTGTTAATTCATTAATCAATTTATCACGCCATGTTTTTAATTTCGTTATTCGCTCCGCGGTGGTTGGTCTGGACCTGCATTTTTTTTACCTTTTGTTAAAAATCATTTCTTATTGTCATCTTAGTTATCAACCTCACATTTAAATTTCCCTTTAACTTATTCACCCATTTCTCACTTTTGTTTCGTAAAACTTCTTAACCGTTGAATAACTCAACTTAACTCGAATTTATGATCGAAAATCTTTACTTACAAATATTCTTATTTATTTTTATACGTTTTGTACGGACCTTCATTTCACAAAGCAATTTAAGAACGGAACATTTTACAGAATTAATGTCATTTCGTTTAAAATTTAATGTCATCTGCCATATATTCATTAATGACTTGTTACATTTCGCATATTATTTACACGATAAAAAGTTCATTTTAATATATAAATTTTCTAGTTTTTTTCTCCATATTTATGTACGGCAACATAGTTTTATTTTTAGAGTTTGAGTGTATTTTTGAAATGAAATAAAGATGTGTGTTTTTTTCTGTGCAGTTTTCCTTACAAAGAGTGATTTCGTTTTTGTTTAATATTTCCCATTTGAATATAATCATGTTCGAAAGTTTTAAGCGCTTTTTATTTAAAATATCTCTATCAAATCTATTTATAATTCATGAAATTTAGATTCTTTAGTATCTATTTATTATCTTTTTTATTAATTTTCATTGAAAGAATTCAAATTCGAATCATTGAAGATCCTGTCTAAAAATTTTTCAACGCATTTCGAAGTTAGACTGCCGATCACTTCTTCCTCCTCTCATCTAAAAAAAATATCAACTTTTATTTCTTGGTATCTGCTGGCTTTTTGGCGCCATCATCAATCTGCTTAGCTGCATTGTTTCCATTTTCCCTAAAATTAGGGAACGACTCCCAAGGGCTGGTGTAGTCGAAGTTTCTCCATTCTTGGATCATCTCAATCGGCTCAACCACAACTCTCTTGGCCTCGTCATCGTAACGTACCTATTCGAACGAGAAATTAATTATAATTGATTATTAATGTTACTATAATAATATTATAATAAAATGTTATGTTATTATTAAGAACATACCTCAACGTATCCAACCAATGGGAAATCCTTCCTGAAAGGGTGTCCTTCGAAACCGTAGTCTGTCAATATGCGTCTGAGATCTGGATGGTTTTGGAAGTAAACCCCGTACATGTCCCAGATCTTGAAATTTAATATTTTTTAAATATAAATAATTTTTAAATAATTATAAAAAGAAAACTTTAATATTTTTAATAAATATTGACTTTATTTAATGATTTAATAGGATTAGTAGTAAACTGGCAATAAAATAAATTGAATTAATTTTGATTTTTATGTAGAAAATGTCAGAATATTGGGTTATTTTTGAAACAAAGCTATGGAAAAGTGCTACATTAATGAGTTATTTTATTCATATTTTTAAAAAAATTGAAAAAAGAAATGACAAAAAAATATACAAAACTGATGGACAATTAAAAATAACAGAATAATTTAACGCTGCTAACTTCTCTCTCATACCAATTGGCACCGGCAAATAGGGGAGTTATTGATGGCACAGGTGTCAGTTCATCTGTGTAGGTTCTCACCCTAACTCTTTGATTGTAACGAAGGGAGAGAAAGTTGTAGACTATCTGTAAGGTTGGGGTTGGATGGTTTTTAATCAATCAATCATTTAGTCAATCAAACATTTAGCCAATCAACTAACCAATCAGTCAGTCAATCACTAATGATATATATCAAAAATGTAAAACAACCTCAAATCTGTTCTTCCTAGTTGGAAAATCCACTCCACAGATGTCAGCTAGGCTAGTGAATTCAGCATTGGTGTGGTCCCTCAGGAAGGTGACGACAGGTATGATGCCCTCTGGATGTATGAAGACCTCCAACTCAGAACCATGTACCACCTGAACGTGCTGGATGAACCTGGGGAGGCAGTCACACATGTACTTGCCATATTCTACCAATGTCTGCTGCACTGCTGGTAGCTTTGATTTTACAGTAGCTAGAAGATAAGTGGTGTTTAATAAAAGAGAATTATTTATCATATGGAAATTAGTGAAAAAAATTTTTTTCACCATAACTGAAGATAAAGATATATTATTGAAATCTAAAATCAGTAATAAAATAATGTACATGAAACATATTTTAACAAATTTTAATTAGAGATAAGTTACTTTTTCAATTATTAAAAAATATTTAAAATAAACTGAGATACAAACACAATGATTTGGTGGTGTCAGTCGTTTGCAAGCGACAAACTGTGGCTGCCAGAGGGACAACACGTCCTTTTTGAATCAAAATTGAATAAATTTAATTTCAAATGTATATATAGCTATAATTATAACTATAATTATCTCTCAACTCAACTCAAGTCTTAACTTCTTACTTAACTTTTAAACTTAAGCAATCCTGTTGTTTTTAATGAATTAGAGGGAAAATTAGAAAAAGAATTAGTAAAAATTTACCATTTTTTGTCGCATTAAAAAGCGCTGCAAACGATCGTCCGCATAATTTTCCAAACTTGGAAGCCATTTAATTTAAAAAAATTTTAATTTTATTTATAAACAAATTAAAATACTTAAACTCTTCTCGTCTGAATCCGCTTTTAACAGACAAAGAATTTCATAGGACAAGATTTTTAAATATTGATTAGATCCCTTGATGAAAAAAACTCTAATAAATGATTCGAACTATATTAAAAAATTTTTCGACATTTCTTTAATAATTAAAATATAGCAAAACTGATGCTGAAGATGTTTATTAAAACGCTAAATTTATTAATTTTACAATTTTTTAATTATTTTATTTTCATAAAATTTTCATAAAACAAAATTTGAGGTGTGTTTTAATCAATTTAATTTAAATTTTAAACGTTATCGTCGTGGCCGTTCTTTACATGCTCTTAATTCTACAGTACATAATATAATACCTACACATATTAGCATTTTGTTTAAAATATTGATAATTTATCGGCTCAAATATTTCACTTTTTATTTTCTATTAAATTTAATTACTTAGTTAATTAATATTATTAAAGTTTTATTCAACATTTATTGGAGTTCTAACACTTGAGGTTTGTTAATGAAAGTGGAAGAATTTTTTGGAATTTTTTTTCATGTTGGCACCACTTCGACGTGTCATCAATTAATTTTTTGGAATTCATTTAAAATTCTGCTTAAACTTTAAATAAATTTTAAATAAACTTTTTACTTGAAATTTCTTTTTTTGTCGCGTTAGCGATTTTCTTTCATATTCAGTTTCAATTATTTTTGAAATAAAACTTTCCTGGTAAGTGTGTGTACATGCTACATATTATTAAGAATTAAGTTATAAGTCTGCAAGTTGTTAGTAAGTAAAATAAAGTTTTATTTTAATTAACATTAAATTATTAACATAAAAAAAGGAAACCTTTTCAGCAGAAGTTCATAGAGAAAAGAAAGATGACGAACCAGCTGGCCAGCGACACCAATTGGAATGTAGCTATCATGATTTTTGTCTGTTTCTTCAGCTTTGCCCTGCTACTCCTCATCTACATGCTCTACAAATACTACATGGATGAGACCCCATACCAAAAAACTTCCCTAGTAGAAGACGTTTCCAAGTTAGGGACAGCTGGGGATAAGAAAGGAGTGAAGAAGGCTAAGGGTACAGTTAGACAGAGGGTTGTTCAAAAATCCTCGCCCTCATCTGCTGAGAAAGTGTCTGCTAAGTCGGGTGAGGATTTTCAGGATGGAAGTTTGTTGTCTTCTAAGGTTGCAACTGTGGCATCTGCATCACCATCTTCTGGTGGCAAAAATAAGAAACAAGGTTAGGGTTATGATGTTTGCTATGTAGTTTTTCTAATCATTCATCTGTTACTTATTAAATTGTATTTCTGCTTCATGTAAAATCATACAAATTAACTTTAATGTGATATTTTCATTGGTAATTTATATTTCATTCTAGAAAAATCTGCCGAGGCAGCTTTGAAAACAAAGAAGGGGGCCAATGATGATGTAGTGAAAGAGACCAAGCAACAACAACCATCTCCAAAACAACAACAACCATCTCCAAAACGACAGGCTAAGCAGAAACCAGTGAAGCAAGCACAAAGCTCAAAACAGGATGTAGTTGCTGATGAGGAGGTTGATGTTGATCATGTTTTTGGATATCATATATAAATAAATAGTCACTTTCTTGATTTAAACCATTATTCAAAGAGAGAGTATATAACTTGAAACTTCATTAAAAACTAGTCTGCTTCATTTCCCCTTCCAGATCATTGCCTCAACAGCTACTATTACAGCATCTGCTCCAGCTGCTACCAGCAGCAACAACGCAACTGCAGAAGGAAAGCAACAGCAGAATAAAGAAGCTACCACAGCAGCAACTGCTATAGCAACTACTGCAGTTGTTGTAGCAACTACAGCAGCTGGGGTGGCAACAGCATTTGCTGCTTCTGGGCAGTCAGAACCACAGGAGACACAAAAGAAAAAGAAGACAAAGAAGGCTGTTGAGATACCCTCTGGTCAGTAAGCAAGATGATAATGAGACGATAGTGAATAAATTTGAATATGAATGAAGATTTTAAATGTACTTGAATTTTTGAGTGTATACAAATTATACGTGTGTGTTTGTGTCTGTGTGTGTGTTTGCTTCTATGTATCTGTATGTGTTTGAATGTGTCTGTGTGTACGTGTGATAATTTATTAACTAATCAACTTTTTATCTTTGTATATTAGGAGGAAATTTTGAGACATACAGCGGGCAGAAGATCAAATCAGAGGCTCCACCCAGTTCCATACAGCTCGTTAGCAATGCGAATATTAATGAGTTCATGGAGGAGGAGCCAGCTGTGATTGTCACCAGGGAGAAGGTTTGAGATTGAGAGATTTGATTGGTTGTTGCAATTTTTTTATTACTAGACTTATTTAATTAATTACTTATTCGTCACTGTTGACTTGATTTCAAATGAATTCGTGCTATTGTGAAACTTGCATAAAAGTCAGAATTAAATTGAGCTAAGTGACTCCTCTTCTCTAGCCACTCAAGCAACCTGCTATCCAGCAACAGTCGACAAGCGTCGCTGCTGAAAATGACGTCATTGGCGGAGGAGGATTTGTTGGGGCAGGAAAGAAGAAGGGCAAAGGAAAAGGTGTAGCCATGCTGGATGATTCTGAAGGTGCATCTTTTTCATGTGTCGTCATCATCAATGTGTTTATTGTATGGCTATTCTGTTGAATTTGTCGTTGCTTAATATTGTTATAATATCTGTTGCTATCTTTATCATCAACATCATAATTTTTTTCATTTCGTCATTTTCTCTCATTTTTTGCTTCCACCATAACCTCCATCCATTCATTCAAACAGTTCCTTTTGAAGCTCCCATCATCCAGCAAGAATCAAAGCAGCAGAAATCATCTCCTGACTCTCTGCATCAGCAACATCAGCAGCTGCCGGCTATCAATGATCACCATCATCACCATCTCCAGAATAAGCAGCAGCAACAGCAACTACAAGAACTGCAGCAGCAGAAGGGAGCAATGAAGAAGCTGATTGAAGAGAAGGAAGATATCATAAAGAGAGGTCTCTTAATAACTTAATCATAATCCTTAATTTTCTATAAACGTACATTAAAACACTTGTACATATTATTGACTTGTGTGAATATGTATGCCTGTACAAAAAAATGCTTGCACTTTTCATGCTTCAAATCATCTTATGTAAAATACCTACATTGGCTAATGTACACTTACATGCTCACTTGTAAACAAAGTTATCATGTGTACGTGCGTATATAATGTCTATGTGCGTATATAAAAATATATACACACAAACATACACAGATACATGCATGCATAAATATATGTTTAACTTAGATGATAAAAATCCGGCTCAAATCTGATTTTTAAAATATTGACGTCTCGGTTTCGTTTTTGTCTTGAATTTTTTGTCTCGTCCTTGTTGGTCTCGAGACATGTTCTGTGAAAGTCTCGTTTCGGTCTCGTCTTGAGCTTTCAGTCTTTGTCTTGTCTTTAAAATATACTCACTATCTTGTCACAACCCTGGCCGTCGTCATCAGATCAGAACCAGTTGAAGGTACTGAACGACAGCATCTTACAGATGAAGAGGGAGCTGGCCAACTACCACGCCAGGGCTTCAGACATGGAGAATACCATCAGAATTTCTGCTAAGAAACACGTATGTATGATAATCTTATCATTACTGATACCGCTACTACTAACACTACTACTACCACCACTACTACTATTATTGCTGCTACTACTAATACACTACTACTCCCACTACTACTCCCACTACTACTACTTACTGCTGCTACTTACTACTACTATTACTACTACTACTGCAACGCAGGCAGAAGAGAAGCAGACGCTGGTGAACAGCTTGCACCAGTCCGACCAGCAGAACAAGCAAGCAATACAACAGCTGCAGCAGGAGCTGGCTGCTTCCAAAACCATCGTGACGTCATTGGCCGAGGAGAATGCCGGTCTTAAAGACGAGATGAGGTACTTTTTATTGATATATAAGAGGATTAAAAAGAAGCGGTTGATTACATGATTGATAGTTTTGAGTTGGTGTTGTTGATCCAGTTGGTTTGTCGATTTGTAGATTGAATAACTGTAGTTGGCTGGTTAATTGATTGATTGATTAGTTAGTTCTTTGGCTGGCTAGTTGATCTTTTGATTAGTTTCATAAGTCATCATGGATGCATTTCATTTTCGCCATCTTCACAGTCGTCCAAACAAAGCAGCTCAGTTCGTCGAGGAACTTGCTCAAAAGGCAAACCAGGTATGCGGCAAAATGATAATGGTGATGATGAGGATGATAACAACATTTTTAATGATGATATTTAGCATGATATTTTGTTTCCCTGTTTCAGTTTTATTATTTTCATAAGGATTTCTCATACGTATCTCAGAGAAGTTTTTTCAAATAAATTTCGACTTCATTCATTTTGTATGAGGGCTAAATTTTTTTTCCTACACTTGGCCCTCTGCCTGCAGGTAGAGCTCTTGAATGCCTCCCTACGGAACACCCAGATCGCCCTCGATGGAGCCGAGAAGGACAACAAGAGCTTGAAGATGAAGTTGAAGCAAGTCGAAGATCAGACACACATGATGGAGGCTAAGCAGGTTGGTTTGTTGGTTGATTGCTTGGTTGGTTGATTAGCTGGTTGGCTAGTTGGTTGGTTCATTGGATTGGCAAGAAATTGCATATTTGGCTGATTTTATTGATATATCACTTATCTGTCCATTTATTTATTATCACTTATTTCTAATATCGAATCCACTCCTTCATCCACTCACTCTTAATCACTTCGTCATCTCAGAATGAAGCAAACAGCACCATTGGTCAGCTAGAAAAGGCCTGCTTTGACTACAAACAGCAACATCAGCAGCTGCAGCAGCAGTTACAGCAGCTGCAGCAGCAACATCAGCAACTGCAACAGCAACAGCAGCAACAACTGCAACAGCAGCAGCAACAAATGCAACAACAGCAACATCATCATGCTAAAATTGATGAGGAACGTGGGAAAATGATATCTGTGAGTTAGGTTTTCACACAGATAGCAATCGTTTTCAATGAACATGTTTATTTATATGTGTGTGTATGTATATGCATGTGTGTGTGTGTGTGTGTGTGTACATGTATGTGTACATTTGTATGTGTGTGTTGGCATGATATATTCAATCCCTTGCCAGTCTAATAAAGTGATTGATTGATTGAAAATTACAGCAACTTGAGCATGAAAACGACAGTTTCCTCTTAACAATTGAAGCTTTGAAGAAGGAAGCAAAGGAACGGGAGAAAGTGCTCACTTCAACTTCATCTTCTGTTAGTCTTTCTTTCATTTTTCATATAATCATTCTCTCTCTCTCTCTCTCTCTTTCTTTCACATATTTCACTATTTTTATCACTCTTTCTCTCACTCTCTCTCATTATATTCCTTTTTTCATGTTTTCTTTCTCTCTCTCTCTTTCTCTCTCCCTCTCTCTCTATTTCTTTCTCTTTCTCTACATGCAATAATGCTCCATGCACCCATTCATTCACTTTGCTGCAGCCAATCAGAAGACAGCAGCAAGACCGCCAGCAGCAGTTTGACCAGCTGATCGAGCAGAGAGATCAAGGTCAGCAGTGGGAGCAGCAACATCATCATCATCATCAGGAGGAGGAAGAGGTCCAGCAGCAGCAGCAGCAAAATGGCATGCTGGAATCTGATTATGTGAATGCCCTGAAGGCGAGTGTCAGTGAGTTGGAAAAGGAAATTGGCGAGATGAAAGTTAAGCTGGAAGTTAAAGATAAGAAGAATGAAGTCAGTTGTATTGTAACTTTGTGATGTTTTAGATTTTATTGCGGTTGTTGTTGTTGTTGCTGCTGTTGCAATTGTTTGTGCTATTATTGTTGTTTTGTTGCTCTAGGTAGTTGGTGTAATGATTGATGGTCTTACTTTAGTGTGATAGATGTCTAGTTAATAATGATAATGACACATTTCCATCATCATTACAGTCGTTCATCGTCATTTTGTCGTCATCATCATAATCGTCACCACCATCATCTTTTGATAATAATCAACGTTATCATAATTTATATCCTCGCTATCATCATCGCCATCTTCATCATCATCAGCATCTACGCCAGAAAAACTGGAAAGCCATGGATGTCATAGCTGACTTGGAAAAACGTCTCGAGAGTTTGATGAAGGAAAACGAAACGCTCACTCGGAAATCCCAGCAGCTTATAATTACCCCGACCTTGACCTCCTCGACATCATCAGAGGTCAAGAGTTCAGTTGGCAGGAAGGGCGACCTTGTACTTACTGGATCGAAGTTCCAGAAATCTAAAAATAGAACAGGTGTGTGTTGGCTCGTTGGAGATGATGAATGGGATGACAATTCTTTTCTGGTTAACAGCATTAATATTATCATCATCATTTTTCTCATCATTATCATCACCAGGTTCCAGTGATGACGTCGACGATGACGACGGCAGCGGTGACGTCACGCCCGGCATTGAAAACGTCAAGGAGCACATCGTCGTCACTAAAACACTCAAGATCCGCTCGGGGGGGCACATTGATGGCGATGAGGAAGATGGGGGCAGTGGTAAGTTGTCGGCCATTATGCAGCAGCTGGAGGAGCAGAAAATGAAAAATGACGTGAGTGACGATGATGACAATGATGATGTCACTGATGACAATGATGATGTCACTGATGACAACGATGATGTCACTGGTGACGTAAGTGGGGATAGCTCCTTTTAATAGGAATTTTTTTAGACCGTAAAGTTTACTAATTAATTGAATAAATGAACGAATGGATGAATAAATGAACTAACGAATGAAACTTACATTGTATCGAACAAAGTAATAAGAACGGCGAACATAAAGGAAGAAACAAACAAACAAGCAAACAACTATACACAATGAAATGTAAACTACGGTGATGCTTATTGAACTGTTGTTACTAAATGGAAAGAATTGATCAATATATATATTTGGATCTTACGTAAATGCGAAATTTATGCTTTGAAATTTTTTTGCATTTAAACAAAGTTTCACAATCTGTAGGACCTGCGCAAGAAAAATTGGAATATCGTGGTCCTATTAAACGAAGCTGAAAAGAAAATCCAGCAACTTCACCAACAGCAACAAGATCTACAGCAGCAGATGCAACAAATGGCTGCTGAAACGTCGAGTTTTTCGTCGTCGCCATCACCGTTATCGCCAACGCGTCGGGGTGGCGAGTGTGGTAGCGTCGCTAGCGGCTCTTCTGCCTCGCATAGGAGAGAGTATACTGTAGTCAACAAGGTGGATGTTCTCTGAAATTGAAAAATTTAATTAGTTTATTATCATCTGCACTGTTCGTTTAGAGATAGATAGATGGATAGATGATAGATGGACGAATGAGTGGATGGATGAAAGGATGGATGGATGGACTGATAGATATTTCACAAATTAGGTCAAAGAGTCATGTCAGTGGGACATGAGTCAGCTGGTCGAGGACCTAGACTCCAAGGTGTCTGAACTCCACATACTACAGGCTCTGCTTTCGGAAAATGAAAGCGCCCGTGAAGTTAGTAGCCGTAGTAATAGTAGTTGTTATAGTAGTTGAAGTAGTAATAGTAGTAGTAGTGGTGTTGTAGTAGTAGTATTCAATGTTTTATTAGTAGTAGTAGCAGTAGTAGTAGTTGAAGTAGTAGTAGTAGTAGTGGTGTTATTGTAGTAGTAGTATTCGATGTTTCAATAGTAGTAGTAGCAGTAGTAGTATTTTTTTGATTGGTTATTGTATAATAGGAGTAGTGGTAGTAGTAGTAGTAGTTATATAGTAATAATCGTATATATATATATATAACACTAATATTAATGATAACAATCCTAGGTTCTTAAACAAGAAAATGAAGAGCTTAAATTAAAACTGTCGGTGAGTTTGTTTGTTTGTCTGCATGTATGTTTGCATATGTGTATGTTTGTATCTGTGAAAGTTTGTATCTGTATGTCTGTATCTGTGAATGTTTGTATATGTGTATGTTGTATCTGTGAATGTTGTTTGTATATGTGTATGTTGTATCTGTGAATGTTTGTAATAGTGTATGTTGTATCTGTGAATGTTTGTAATAGTGTATGTTGTATCTGTGAATGTTGTTTTTATATGTGTATGTTTGTATCTGTGAATGTTTGTATATGTGTATGTTTTACCTGTGATTGTTTGTATATGTGTATGTTTGTGTCTGTGAATGTTTGTATCTGTGTATGTATGTAGGTAGGTAGGTGTCCTAGGATTGTATTATTCATTTATTGATGTATGTATATTGTGTTTATGCGACAGAAATCAGCTGACGCCAGTTACGTCATGGAAGAGAAAGTGAATAACTACAGATCAGCTGTTCTCAAGACGGTTAGCATTGGTCGAACTGGTCAGTTGACTGATTGATTGATTGGCTGGTTGATTGATTGAGTGATTGATTGGTTGACTGGTTGATTGATTGATTGATTGATTGACTGGTTGGCCAGGAGAACACCTTGAAACAGTTGGAAACCAGCGTATCGGAGGAGGAAATTAAGTGGAAGAATAGAATTGAAGAGCTGGAAGGACAAGTGGCCATGGTGATATTATGATTATATTATTATTATTATCGTTATTATTATTGTTATTCTTTTAGATCTACCTCAGAGGTTATGAGTTAAATGCTTTATAATTTTAATAATTATACTTATTTAATTGACTGTAACTTGTAGTTATTTATATCTTTTTTTTCAAGTTTCAGCTAAATTTCTGCCAATTAGTTAATCTAATCTATAATTTATGTTAATTTATTCATACTTTTCACGCAGCTTCAGCAGCAGCTGCAACATCCTCCTCCTCATCGTCATCATCAAGAATGATGGTGATGATGATGGCGATGACGACAACGACGATGACGTGGTAGTGATGGCGATGGGAGAAGTCGAGATGGTATCGGAAGGATTTATCATAAACATGATTCCACGACTTTCACTAGAATTATTATTATTTTATTATTATTATTTTATTATCATTATTATTATTATTACCACTACTACTATTACCATCGTTATTATGTATGTGATGTCATTAATGTCACTAATTAATGCTACTGCAATTGATTTTAACTAATGCTTTTAAAGGTTCTCTTTAATTAATTAATTATTTGATTGATCATTTGGTCGATATGTATTTTTTTTTAATTTGTTTATTAATAAGAATATACATTTATTATAGTTTAATTATTATGGTTATAATTATTGTGATAATTATTTTGGTTATTTGGGGTCCATGATATTAGTTTACATTGCAGAATGTTTAATCATCTAACCTCATTTGTACATACATACATACATACATCGTACATACAAACATACGTATAAAGAAGCAAGCAAGCAAATAAACATAGACACATACTTGCCCAAATTTTTTGTTTCGTTGGATGTGATGTAATGGCTTAGTTGAGAATACTATTAATCTAAAACGTTCTTTAATTTTTTCTCTAAAATTCTTTATTCGTTTGTACTCTTATTTCTTCACTCTATCTTATTCTTTTTCTCTTTTACCTTCCTCTTTCTCTTTTGGGAGCGTTGCAGATCGAATAATTGTATATTCTCAACTTATAACAGTCAGTCAATCAATCAATCGATATATAATATATATATATATATATAGCTTACTCATATATGTTTATATATTTCTTATGTAGTGATTTGATTGATTGATTGACTGATTTGGAATGTACATTATATAATAAGTGAGGAGATAAATATAAGTTTAGGTATGTGTATCTATATTTGTTTGTTTGTTTGCGTACATTTACACACACACACAAATAAAACATACAAAGACACGTACACACACGCACTGCTCTTTTTTCATGTTTTTGAATTAGAATCGTCTGAAAGATTTATACACACACATACATATTTATATGTATATATATATATATTCATATTTTTGTTTTAAAAAAATACCATGTCACTATTAACTGAACCAATGATAATCTCACGTCTTTTATAATTATAATAATAACAATATAGCTATTATTGTTGTTGTTTTATTATTATTATTTCTACTTATTATTATTGTTTGTTTTATTATTATAATTAATTTAGCCAGCCAGATTTATTTGTGAAATTAATTTTTATTCATTCCAATATAGACTAATTAACTACTTAATTGTCATCTCTGATTTTCATTATTTATCTTTGCTATCAATAATTACATATTATTATTATTAATAATATGTATATAAATATATATATATGTATGTGTGTGTTTGTGTATAATGTAGGTGAATGTTTAATTCACCATCATCACACATAATTGTCATTTTGTTATCTATCTCTACCTGTGCAATACACATAAACACACGTATCTGCAATACACATATAAAACGCTTGAACACGCACACACAAACACACAGATATATCTATAAACAAATACATTGGATATACACAACACAAACATATCGACGAGCAGATATTGACTAATACAAAGACACACACACACACATAATTATATACATACATATATATATATATGTTGGAAGGAGACCATACTGTATACAGTATTGTATAAATTCTACCGAATTTTTGGCATTAATAAATTGATTAATGACAACAATTCAGTAGAATTCATACAATACTCTCTCTCTCTCTCTCTATATATATATATATATACATACATACACATGTTCTTTATCACAGTGAAATAGTTCTCTCTTTTCCATATTTTCAAATTTAGAGGAAGTAAAAAAATGTCTGCTATTACATGTAATATTTGTTAATTTTATTATCATTATTTGCTTCTATTATCATTATTATTGTTATTATTATGTGCGTATCAATTTATAATCTGTTTTTAACATTTTATTGTTACTATTATTATGACAATAAGAATACCTTTACGTTTATTATTATTCCTATTTTATTATTATTATTATTATTATTGTTATTATCATTATTATTAATTATTGTATGTTTGGGTGGATGTTTCAATAGTTTGTTGTTATAAAAGTTTACTCACATTTAATAAATGAATTAACATAATTAATGTTTGAGATTTTTTTTTACGAGAAATTTTTTCAAACGGCTTCACTCACACAGAGTATTTAAAAAAGGGAATTAATTAGGATAATAAAACATAATAATAATAATTTAATAAATTCAGTTATTTACAGGCATGAACCAAAATTGAAATAACCAATGATGTAAGGATATCTTGACCATCGTTGTGCTATATAGCATCAATTTCTCACAATATATAGCTCTGTTTTTGATGTAATCATTCGATCCCATCCTCACATTACATATGGCAACAATAGGATCATCGTAGTTAGCAAATGTAATTATGACGTCAACATCAGCACATGAAACAATGCAGTCATCACTATATCAACATCCTGACATCTGATGGTGAAATTGATCATTTATCCTCATTTTCGACCTCTCCAGCTTCACCATCATGAATGCCATCGTCTTCGGCATTCAGATCAGACGTGTCTGCATTTTCAGTAAGCAGCACATAATCCCTTTTACTAAATCCAAACTTCAGGACATCTTTCTCAAACAATTCCACGTATCGCCTGGCTTCGATACGGGCACTGTTAACATAAGTTCCATTAGCAGATCCAAGATCGATTATGTAAGGTTTGACACGAGAGCTTTTTGAACCATCAGGTTTTATGTATGGCTGTAGTTTGTATTGCAAAACTGCGTGTTGCTTTGAACAGCTGGGGTGGTCCACGGGTATGTCTGCTACCCGTCTGTCTCTGCCTAATAGGTACGCAGATTGCCTGTGTAGATGCATTACGGGGAGTGCTTCCTCGCCTTTGAATGGGTAGAAGCGCCATCTTTTTTTTGGCCTTCGTGCCTCTGGAGGCTCGTTGTATTTGATGACTACTCCTCTGAATGTGTTTGTGTCTTCCGTCAACTTTCCTGACGTCTCAAAGTTCGGTTTTTCTGGTGGTTTTGAGTCAACCATGCTATTTTTAGTCGAGTTTTCTTGTTTAATTCTTTTCTGCATGGGAATAAATTTATTATTTTAAAATCATGATTGGCATGAATGAATTAAATTCTAAAATTTTGAAAAAATTTCATATTACCCCCCATGGTTGTGTTAAATCTTGTGACTCTTGTCTAATTCTTTTCTGCCCATGAGTCCTCCTGTGACTGTGATGATGGTCCCTATGTTCACGATGTCTTGAACGGGAAGACATCACTAATTGTAATTTAATAGTTTTTTAATATTAATTAGTTATTAGTTTATTACTTATTAGTAAGTAATCAGTGTTGTTTGTTGCTGATAGATTTGTTGTTGCTGGAGAAATATAGTTACAGAAATCAAAAAATGCCTTGATATTTCAAAGATTGAGATGAAATTTGAGACAAAAGGCGTTTCAATCAATTTCAATCAACTAATCACTAATTGATGACTAATCCCAGAACAAATAAATGACGTTAAGTCGTAAATATAATTATAAAAGTTAATTTTATTAATTTGAATAAAAAATAAAGTTGAAATGAAAGTAAAATGAAATTTGAGACAAAAGGCGTTTCAATCAATTTCAATCAACTAATCACTAATTGATGACTAATCCCAGAACAAATAAATGACGTTAAGTCGTAAATATAATTATAAAAGTTAATTTTATTAATTTGAATAAAAAATAAAGTTGGATTTATAAATTTTTCATACTAACTAGTGTGTGTAACGAGTTAAACATAACTAGAATATATTCTGTTTAATAAACGGAGTTAAACAATACGGCCATGACACTACCACAGACAAATAAACTAGTTGTAAAATAAAGTTCAAACCATAGATAGAAAATGTTTATATTCAGAATACGCATAATACAATGTAACACATTGTAATACATTATACAATGTAATACATTGTAATGAATAATACAATGTAACACATTTAATACATAATACAATGTAACACATTGTAATACATTTAATACATAATACAATGTAATACATTGTAATAAACTATACAATATAATACATGGTAATATTTGTATTACATTGTATTATGATATTAACATTCTATTACTTTGTATACATACAATCATATATTTTATACATAAATTGTATAGATTGTATACTATGTAATACAATTATAATTCGTGAAGTTACGTTAGTAAAAAAAACATCACTGACGTACGTTACAATTACATCACAATAGCCTTCCAACGAGCAAAAAAATTCCATTTAAGCACAAGTTTGAATAATTGGCTCTTATATTATTTTATATTTATAAAGTAATAATCAATAAGAGTATTAAAAATAAAAATAGCTAAAAAATGTTTGAGCAAAAACTATCAAAGATGCAAAAGGTATGTTTGCGCCCCTGGGTGGATTCGAACCACCAACCTTTCGGTTAACAGCCGAACGCGCTAACCGGTTGCGCCACAAGGGCACGTTGCAAGTGTTTCTTATTTAAATGTTTCACTGAAATGTTCATATTATGCATTTTGAAGGTTTATTCGTGGAAAATTTCTATGGAATCAGTTGATCTTATCTTCTGTTTCGGAGTTCAGTTTTATTACTTTCTCTAAAAACTGTAAGGATGGGGTAGATTTTATTATTTTAATCAATAATTTTGACTGAGTTTCCGATTTGCTCACTATAGCTATAACCGTTATAGTATAACAACCTCACGTCATACATGTCAGAACAATAGGTACGAAGCTACGGATCATTTCTCATCAATAAAATTATTTAAAATGAGTACTTTAATCGAAAAATATTAAATTACGAAATACTACGATAGTTCATACAAATAAAAATAAAAAAAAGAACTCGAGTAAAGAAGGTACCTGCGGTTTCCTTTTATAATTCTTCTCGGCGAACTCCAGAAACAATTTGGTCCCGTGCATTTGTGCCAGCTCCCTATCCTGCTCAAGTAGACAATTTTTTTCGATAATTTTCGATAACCAACAAAAAAAGAATGTTGTAGAAACATGTACAGAAGACTTTAGCAACAAATTACGAAATAATTATAAATACAAATAGATACGAAGATGAATTAACTTACCAAATCGTCATCTTTTTGGACTGCCTCCGTTTTTCCATTGTCTCTAGAAGCACTTTTTGGAGAAACAAGTGGCTTGTTGTAGGGAATTTTTTTCCAAGTTTTCGGATCCAGGTACCATGCTCCGAATCTATACCTCTTCTTCGTTTGCTTTCTTATCAAACTTTTATTTATAAGATCCTATAAAATAAAGGTTTGTGGAAGAGTTTTTCTCAACAATATCCACTTCCCATAAATAGCAAAAACCAGTTTGTTATTGCTGTATTTAGCAAGAAACTTTCGTCAAATCGTCGATAATATCAACGAGAAAAATTACTGACAATCAAATGTTGAAACCATACTTCTAGATTAGCGTTGTCATGTGATTTTTCTTCAGTTTGTAGTTCGGTGGCGTCTGGCCCGCCCGTCAACCTCCTCAACTCCAGTGGGATTCCCTCCATGTCGATGAATTTTATCGGGACGGAGAGGGTAGGTTTCGTATCTAAACCGTTATTGAAGTATCCAGCTACTGTTTCCTCGTTGATGATGTCATTGTCATCCAAAGAAAGTGTAGCCAGATACTCGCAGAATTCTTTGGTCACCGTTCCGTCGTTCACATTCTTTGGGAATATATTACAAAATTACATACACACAAATACTACACACAATTATTTACACAAAAACACCTACACACAAATACCTATACACAAAAACATAAGAATATAATAATTATATAAACAACAACAATAATAATAAGCAACAACAATAATAATTATTATAACGTAATGAATATGAAAATTATATAACCGTGTTCATTGTGATGTATTTCGTCTTGGAGTAGCGAGATAGGTTCTTTGTCTTTTTCTCGAGTTCATCGTATTTGAAGATGGCCTTGAATGGGTTCAGTGTTTCAGTGGGCAGTCTTTAAATTTTGGAGAAATTTTTCATTAAAATATAAATTTTATTTGAAATTATCATCGCCACTACCATTATTGTTATTTATATTATTATTCATATTATTATAATTATTTTGTCGTTGTTAGTAGTAGAACTGAATGGCTTATGTGAAAGTTATATAGACACAAATTATTTTATTTAATTTTAATTTTAAATGCTGACAATTTATGTTAAGGGTGTCTTATTCACTTTTTACAGTTGTCTTTTTGAAATAATAATAATGATATTATTCGCATTAGTGATCCCATAATGATATCATAATTGTCATCACCCTTTCTGAAGTTTATAAAGCAGTTCCTTAGCTCTGTCGACGTCATCATTCCCTCTTCTCATCATCATCCTCTCTTCCTCTTCCTCTTCCTGTCCATAGTTTGCAGGATTGAACTTGAATCCCTGACTGAAGTCATCCAGTCGTTCCGGATCGTAGAAATTTTCCTCGTCAACTGCCTTCCTCATTTCAGGATCCAGGATCTCCATCACGTCTTCGAATATCTGTGTGTGTGTATGTGTGTGTATGTGTGTGTTTGTGCGTGTGTACGTGTGTGCGTGTAATATTGTTGTGTGTACGTATGTTTGATATCTATGTTTATTTCTGCTTATACCGGTATATTTTTGCATCTGCACGTGTGAGTGTTTTTATGTTTGTACCAACAATTTAAGTGACAACAATGACATTGGAGACAACAACACGCACAGACAGACAAACGCACACACTCACAAACAAACAAACAGACAGACAAACACACATTATATGGTATATACTCTTCTAGATGCGGGAAAAGCGCCAACGGATGCAACTTCAGTTGCTCCTCTATTTCATTGATGAACATCCCCTTCCAACCAGAAGCAGTATGTGAATTGCAGACGTTGTGCTTGTTTTTGTAGAAGTTCGTAAGCGAACCGAAGTCATACCGGTTCAAACCCTTTTGTCCGACGCCACCACTACCGCCACCGATAGGAACTTGTGGCGCTGAGGCGGTTGTAGTGGCTGGGCTTGCCGTTGCTTGAATCAGGTATGATGCTCCCACCGAATCGTGGTTATATTGGCTGTTTAAGTTGTCGGTGTTTAGTGAAGATATGTTTTCAATTAAATTTTAATTTAAATCAATTTTAATCATACCATTATTATTGATATCATCGTCATCATTTTCATCGTCGTCATCATCATTTTATTACCGTCACCACTTTTCACTCACTAATTCTGTCATCATTTTTACTCAGGCTAACATCATTGAATAACTAACTACACTATTCTCTCTGTGACACTGGTGACTACAATCGTCACGATCTTTGCCATCATAATTCGTATTATTGTTATTATTATTTTTATTATTGTTATTATTATTATTCTTATTATTCTTATTATTATTCTTATTATTGCTATTATTATTATTATTATTTCGTACCCTAACAGTTTATTTTGGGATAATTTTCTGGACTGAGTCTTCTGGGTTGATCTGGCTTCATCATCAGCCAGGTGGAATTTCACAACACTCATTGAAAATGGTCTATTTTTGATGTTGTTGTTGTTGTTTTTGATGTTGTTGTTGTTGTTGTTTTTGATGTTGTTGTTGATGTTGTTGTTGTTGTTGTTTTTGATGTTGTTGATGATGTTGATGTTGTTGTGGTTGTTGTTGTTGTTTTTGCATCTATTTTTAAACTCGCTTCCAGTGTTTTTGTTGTTATTGATTATTTTGTCGATGTTTGTAGTATTGCAGCCACTGTTGCTGTTGCTGCTGCTGTTAATATTGTCGTTGTGGCTGTTGTTGTCTTTTTTGTTGCTGTCAACTTTCCTTTCATCATGCTCATCATCATTTTCTTTATGATCGCCATCATAAAATACCCCATCATCACCATCATTTTCACCATCGTCAACATCGTTGTACTTTTTACCTGCCTCATCATTCTCAATGTTATTGTTATTACTATTATTATTATTGTTATTATTATTATTATTGTTATTATTATTATTATTGTTGTTGTTGTTGTTATTATTGCTTAGACTATTATTTTTTACAAACGAAAATATACTCTCTCTTTTCACCTCCTTATCTCTCTTCTCTTCTTCGTAGTAATCTCTCATCACGTTCAGATGGGGCAAAATTGTGAGTGTAGACTTCTTTCTGCGGAGGCCCCAGACCTGGGAGGGGGTCTCGGGCCGACCGCTGACGTACTTTGAGTCAATTTTTGGGAGTTTATCCAGAAATTGGTTGCTCGTTGCGCCTATAGGCGAGACATTTTTAGCAGTTCCATCCTCGTCGTGAAATTCGAATTTTTTTTGTCGGTTTTTCAAAAAATTTTCATGCGAAATTCTCGCGTTCAGGTCAGAGTAGGAAAGATTCTGGAGAGTGGACAATTTTTTTTGGGAAATTTTTTCGATTTGTTGGTTGAGGTAATTCAAATCTTTCACCTGGTTGATGGATTCCTCATCAGTTGTCGGGTATTTCTGATAATGAATGAATGAATGAATGAATGAATGAATGAATGAACGAACGAACGAACGAACGAACGAACAAACGAATGAATGAATGAATAAATGACGGCTGGAAGGCTGACTGCTTGTATAGATGAATGAATGGACTGATGGAAAGATTGCTGGATGATCAAATGAATAGATGAATGAATGATAGAATTGATAGATGCATGAATGGATGAATGAATGAATGAATGAGTGGATGAATAGATGAATGAATAGTTAAATTGATAGATGGATGAACGGATAGATGAAAGGACGAAAAGATAGATGAATGATCTGAAATATTTATAAAAAAATTTAATTTGAAAAATTTAAAAATTAAAAAAAAATTGCACTAACTCTATCAATCTCTTTGATAAACATTTCCACCCTATTACACAACTCTTTCCCCGTCTCGATACTACACGCATCATCATCAGCACCATCAATTTTCTCATCATAATCATCATCACCATCAACTCTATCACTCGTTCTAACATTTTTCTTGATACTGTCTTTAACATTTCGCAGTTTCATCATTATGCTTGAACTAGCTAGATTCAATTTAACTAGTCAATCTCCACTCAGAACAAAATTATCTTTTTCAACGTATTTTATCATAGATAAAAACCAAAACTTTTTTAATAATTATTAGTTACAATAATAATAACAACAATTGTTATTAATAATAATAATTATTCAAATAGTTTGAATGTAATTGAAGCTTAACTTTCGATAATAAACTTTAAAAAAGTAAATCAAGAAATGATATATGTGTATGTTTTTGTTTTCTTCGTCGCCACGGAAACTAATACAGCGTTATGTTAGTTTGTGTATGTACATGTGTGTGTGTGTGTGTGTTTGATTGTGCGTATGTGTGTGTGTGCGTATACAAGCATGTATGCATACAGATCATATATATGGATCCAAATAAATCCTTCAAACTATTATTATTATTAAGAACGTTTGTTAGGCTTTTTTCAAATCTTCTCAAAATCATAAAGTATCCAGAGAAAATAAATAAGCTTTCAATTCTTATCGAAACATTGCAAGGGAGAGTAAGTATTGTGGCAGACTATTCCAAATCATCGATCCTACACTAGGAAAATTTCTTGATCCTAAATTACAATTTAGCGAAAGGAACTTTCAACAGATCTAAATCATCTGAACGCAATCCTAGTCGATGCATTGAATATCCCTCTGAACAATTTTATCTTGAAGGTATTTTGGAGCCAGGCCATTCCTGCATTTAAACTACCACAGCTACAACAGCAATTCTGAATACAACTCTCTTCTTAACTGATAGCCAATGCAGTTCACGCAAAATTGGAGTAACATGTTCATACTTTGATGTTCTCATTACATTCTTTGCAGCTCAACTCTGTATTGACTGCAGCTGACTAGTCACATTATTTGCAGTGTCCCATAACAAAACATTGCAATAATCCAACTTTGAATGTACGAACGCATGTACTAGACTTTGTAAGATGTCTTTATTTAATGATTTCCAAACAAACCTTAATGCAAGCATATGATGATAGCATTCATTCCCTTGCAAGTGATCCAACGCGGTTTTACACCTGTAGATTAATGTCCAAAATCACTCCAAGATTGCGTACAGATGTTAAAAGATGGTTCCATCGCAAGAGGACAGCTTTTCAAGAAAGCTTTAAAGCATCATTACTTCAACATTGTTCATCACAGAAAGCGCTTCTGAGGTCTTTTCAAGAGAGGCGCTAGACAAATTTTGATACTGATACTGATAGATTATGTGTCTGTGTTTGTACGTGTGTGTGTGTGTTTGTACGCGTATGTGTGTATCTTTAAATTTAATATGAAACAAACAAAAAATCGAATTGGTTTTTAAGCAAATTTTTTTTTCTCAAGATTAACAATTTTTTTTATAACATAACCTACGATATTATTATTAATTTTTTCAGTTTTTTATAAATACGGTTGACAACCAAAAAACGAAATAGAACAAAAAGATGAAGGAATGGTTTGGCTTCTTTAACAATTTAACAGTGTTAAATTAAACAAAATCAATTAATTAAAAATATATTTATTCAAGTTAATTCAGTTAAATAATA